TAAATTCAATATACATTTAAAATTTATTGACTTCTTACACTCTTTTTTTATTTGATTAAAGGTGTATTGTATTCTGCAGTAGGCATTTTAAGGTTTAGAGGATTTTACAGATGCTCTATACTGACCTACATTAAGGATCATCACATATATATAAATATATCTATATATATATATATATATACTTTTTATATTGAATAACTTACCTATCTATGTACTTACATATACGCACTGCTAATGCCGAATAAAGGTTCAATTTTCTTTTCAGCCGTTAAAAATATCTTTCATTTAAAGTACCTCGCTTTGATTTTCGTTTTCTCTCTTGCCCTAAATTCTCGCTCCCTCGATCTTAAGACTCTTAAATAAAATTTTGGCGTAAATTTAAGAACGTTCCCGTTCAAACATTCAACGTGACTTTCTGCTATGTGTACATATTTACGGTATTTGCCTACACAGCACAATATCCATTTGTTAAACTCACGGATCTATCCAGAGATGCTAGGAAATTGGCGTGAGCCGGTGTACATTGATACATAGGCGCTGACAGGATGTAATCCTAACCAAACCTACATCACAAAATATCAATTTACACATTTCTAGAGTGTCATGACTTTAAATTTATTATGTACCTATCTAGTTATGACATCAACGCTAGGGTCTTTCGGTGAGTACTGACTACGAAATCTAAGTAAGTTTAGGTAAGGTTACTTAGAAAATTATTAAAACTACTGAATTATATTCTACGACTAAACTAATTCAATTGAATAATAGGATACATTATGTAATATAAAAGTTTACATTATTATATTTATGTGCACAAATACTCTGGCTAAAACGGAATAAAACGTAATATTGAACCGGACTAAAATAAACATGTCTAAGTATATTCTATATACAGCTTTCGTGTTTAGTGAAAACATCAGTGTATTTAATTATACTTCTGCGTCTTAGAGTTGCATCCAGTAATACTTAAATGTGCGCTCATTATTGATTTAAAAAAAAATGAGGCGACTAAGGGAGCAAACTACGCAGGACAACACCACTGCAGAGAGAAGGAAAACTTGACACTAACCCTATACCAACCCGTCTGGCCAAGTTGGTATAGTAGGCCAAAATCTCCTTTCTAAAGGAGAAGCCTATGTCCAGCAGAGGGCTATTGAAGGCTGTTGATGATGATGATGTTGATGATAGAATAAATCCTGTTTACCAAATTATCTAAACCCAGCAAACAGTTACACGTAGTACGCAATTATATGCTTTATTCCCTTTCATACACGCCGGTCGTCAACCCCGGTGGGTTTAGATAATTTGGTACACGGGATTAGTCCCACTAAAAAAAAAACAGCTAGCCTGTAGAGTCTGCCTTAAGAATTGGACTCAAAAACAACCTTATCAGAACTATTATTTTTTTCACACATCTGACACACGGCCGGCTGTTGCCAAATTAGGCAGAGCCTGTGCTATGGTAACCAGACTGCTGATAAACATACTTATATATTTCTTCTCTATTCTATTATTTCTCTTCCCAGGACAAGTAACCGTGCTCATCACACAATTACTTGTCCTGGAATCGAACCCACGACCTTTGGCGTAACAGTCAGGGTCACTAACCACTAGACCAACAGGCCAGTCATTTGGTGCCATCTGTTTGGTAGTTCAAGAGGTCAGTGCGTTCAACCAAAAAATTAAGTTACGTTACTGTACCATATATTTTTTCTCTGAATTAATCTACTTATCTCCTTATTATAGTTATACACTCAAAGACTTAATAAAATGAGATCGTCTGAAAAGCAAGGAAAATCTCAGCTGAAGATCATTTGTTGAAACAATTCCTGTAGCTGTGCTAACTAATTATTCCACTAGTCGAGGACTATTCAGACTGCAATTTTACAAAGCTACACTGTAATGCTATTTTATCTTTAAATCTTTTACATTATAACTTTTAGGTTTAAAATCTCTTTGCGTGGTATGATAGAAGAAGGAAAAATAACTATCTATCTCTTCATGGATAGAGACCGCACGATATTCTTAAAATTATTTTCTTAGTACCGTCGTATAATCTACACTACTCTCATTACTGAGAATGGGCAATATGTAGCTGACATAGTTAGAAAGACCTAAAATTTTTAGTACTTAAGGGCAGGTTTTTTGTGCTTAGTGCTAGTCCAGGATTAATAAGTGTCCATGGGGAACAGTAGTCGCTTACTATGAGTAGGTGTACTTATGTATTTACTAACTTAGTAATTAGTGTTATTTACAACTCCAAAAATATTCGTTGCAGGTTAAACCCACATCTGAGAACAATAGGTCGAGCAATAAATCTTATACTTTCTTTAGAATGTCTAACTTTTACACTGTAGAAATTGAAAAATGAATGTTAATTCGTCACTCGTGTTCAATTTTGTATACCAGTATAGACTATCAGAAAGTTTAGGCTAAATAAAACTTTAGAAGGTCGCTGTCTGGCAGCCCTAGCAAAGGGCGTCTGGAGGTCTAACACTGCACTGAAAAGACGAATGGTACTTATTATTTATTGAATCGACGCGACGGCGGCGCCATTACTTACAATTCGCTTTTGGAGTTACTATTATCAAATTATTGTTTTTCCACGGTTCGTTAGAACAGTTAAATTTTTGATGAACTTTATTTTAAACTACGAGAATGAACATTAGGACGCACAGAAATCACTTGTTTTGAATTATACTGTTGTAAAGTAAATGTAGTTGTATTTTATAACAAGTTTCTTCATAATTAAAATAATATATATATATATATATAAAATACTAAACGTTTTGGTTTATTTCCTTTCCTGGATGGGTTAAAATTGTCTCCCAATTGTAGAGCTAACAAACGTAGTTGTATATTTTAAAGACATATATGTAATAGATATATTACACCCAGACACAGACAATTGAAAATGCTCATCGGGACTACGACCTCTGACCAGTTAGGCTAGTCAAATTACATATTTTTTTATAACTCACTAACTGTAAACATACATGTTACAGTCTCAGCTCAAAGTAATTTGATTGAAAGTTTTATAACACCCGTTCTGAAAGCTTTGTTATAAAATTTCAAAACGAAACCTCACATTAAAGTATTCAACAAATATAAACAACATAAGGTATGTCATTAACGACACTAGCTAAAAAGCTTTCCGTCAAGCCCAAGATCAAAGCCTTCCCCTCGTTTACACAAACATAAATATACTGCCTTTCTTCGAGCACAGCTTGACTCCACATACATTACACGTTCCTACGGGCTTAGTAGCATTGCGTTATGATAACATTATTTAACCTTGTGTTACTTATTTAATTTTCTACAAAAGTCTTAGTGATAAAAAGTGATGTAGTTTAGATATAATATTCTATCACGCTAACCAACTTGTTCTTGCCTTTCTATCGTTTAACTTAAAACTTTAAAAGTGTCTAGTTCATACCACTGAATGACGTCACATGCTTACCTTTAGTTTTATTGTTAGAGATAATAAATGTTACCTATTATTTAATAGATTTCTAGAGAGAGTGTAAATGGTTAAAATATTGCTAAGGTACGATATTTTTAAAGTTTTGCACCGCACTGATCGTGGTCTCGAGTACGCAGTTGTTGTAAATTAGTGTCCTGTGTATACGAAGGCGATAGAGAAGCTTATAAAAATAACTCTGAAGAAAAATACACACTGTTCATATCGTTTAGATAAGGGATTTGTTGTGTATTCAAATGAGTTTACTTGTGAGGAATGTGGGAATGCGTTGATCCCAGGAGTCTTGCCCTCGAATTCCGTTGAGATAACACTTGATACTAAAGTCCTGGGCGTTAAGCAGGTGCCATGAACTATGAGAAACAAGGCAGTGTTTGCTGACAACTAAACGTATTTACATAGGCCTGTTAAATATTTACGTTTAATTTATTGTACACAGCTGTTACGTAACGTTGTTAAGCTATGTTTTGGTCTTTCTCTGCTAAAGTTATGTACTTATTAAATTAATTCACTGTGGTTGTTGCGTCCTTTAATCTTATTACAGATAACAATACAACATAATGAAATATAAGTATGGCTTTGGTTTCCTTACTTTCTGGCAATAGACAAAAGACTGTTAATAAACTGTTTGAATGGAAGAAGATATATTAGAACTTGAAATACAACGTATATGTATAGTAATATACATATATTATAACGCGACTTCAAGGCCTCAGAGGCTCCATCTTAATAAATTGTAATGAGCTGTCATCTTCATCTTTTAATTTTCTACACTTATTGAACATAAAAGCATTAACTCGAACATAGAACCTCTTCCTTTTCGAAAGCGGTTAAAAAATACTTTGATACTTGGAGCGATTATTTCTTTCTTTTTAACTACAGCTCTTGTTAACAAACCACAAACACTAGTACTTATTTACATTATACTACTAATGGGTTTATATTATTCTATACACAAACAAATTTGTGCGTTGATGACAAGTCTGTCTGTCAGTCAATTGTCAGTGTTCAGAAATCAATACTTCAGGAATGGCTTTACGTCCTAACATTTAAATTGACTTTTCAATTCTTCAGTTTATCTAAAGGTTTGAAATTTTTCTTTACCACTGGTAATGGCACACATAAGAAGTTAATGGACTTAATGTTGTATTAACTATAATAAAAAAAAAAAACTGAGACATACCTTAACATACCGATAACAGAAAGCGGAAATGTCATATCTCTTATATTGACTTGTAAAACTTACCATGAAAGACTTACTAATTTGTAATTAATCAAAATAAAAAACCTGGTCTATCTAGTTAGTGTTCCTATGAGGAAGTAAGTTAATAATATAGCATCCATTTTTTCTAGTTTTACTATTTTGATACGAAAATCTTGATGAGTTACATTTTTTAAATTGTTTTTGGTCTCCAGTGTAAAATTGAATATTTCGAGATACGACAAAATCGCTTTTCGCCGTCGATGTGTAGATATAGCCGATTCTACATTATGTAATAAGTGATTATTATTGTCCATACAGATCACCTAACGGGACTTTCTCATCAATCACAAAACAAAACAGCGACATTGTTTACGCAGTTGTACCGGGGGCATGCGCTGAGGACGGTCCAGCCTCTTGCGACCCTCTATGACGACATCCGGATAGTTCTCCGGTCGAATTCAGATAAAGACGTCAACGCAGAAAGCTTCAGTACCACTTCCCCAAGAGATATAGTGGCCAGTGCAAAGAAATTTTTTAGAGATATATTTCCAGTAGCGCATCATAATGTTCTGAAGTTGGACTCGAAACAGTTCACACCTGAATACGAAGCGTGTTTGAAGGATGCATATGATGCTGTCCAACCTTTTGGTGATGTACCGCAACAGGTGAGTTTTTTAACTATCTCAATCATTTTAAAGCTTGTTATTTTGAAGAGTGAACAAGAGAGCTATAGATAGGGAGAGATTAATTAAACTTTTTTCAGATAAAGGGAGCTTTTTTTAGTTCTTTCTTAATGAATACCAGTTAAGACGGGAAGATGTTTTATAGGCTTGGAAATGTGTTTCAATCTAGCCATAATCACTTATTATTTTGGTTTACTTTTAATAAAACTTTTAAAAGCCCACTTTCTCGATCTAAAACCAACCTTACTAAAGGGTTTACCTAAACAATGAAAATGTCGGAATACAAAATTCAAATGGCCTTACTTTCATGGACCATGGCGTTAAACGTTTGGGGTTGTGTTCTATCATTAAATGTTATGGTGCGTTACCCCTTCACTTGAGCGGTGGCATGGCGTAATTAGGTTACTTTAGTGATAACCCAAGGGTTATTTGAAATTACCGTTGCATGCACTGTCATATTTAAACGTCCTGCGCTTTTTATTCCCTTAAGATAACTAGACTTAATTTTAAATTTAAATGTACTCCGTACGTAGTATCTTGGTATCAGAAGTCTTTGGGCCTTACAGTAGACGATAATTACAATGTGTAACATCGGACAACTACGAGTAGCATCTCACGCTTATTGGACAAATTTGACTAAAAGCGCGCGCTTTTTCGGCTGCCTCCTACACTCTTCCGTTTCTTTTTAAGAAATCACTGCAATATATTTCAGGAAAGAGACAGGGAAGATGTTACACACTGTGTTGTTTTCTGTCCCTACTAGAGTTCCTACTACTACATGGATAAAACCTCGAAATAGGAAACATAAATTTATGCAGAGTGAAAGAGACCCTATGTTTTCTTCTGCATCTCTTTCTGTATCTTTCAATAATACTTTTGCATTAATAAGACGTTATTTTTTCTATTTTATTGGTTAATTTAAATATACATATAAAATCAAAATTTATTTGACCGACTTTATGACTGCTTTTTAATTTTCCATTACAATAAAAGTCACTTATTATTCTGTTACCTAATTTAAAGCGATTATGGAAACTAAAAAGAATGCTCTATGTATCTATTTTAAAAATATCAATAAAAATAATTTAAAATATAACACGATTTCAATAAAGATCACTAATATTTATGACCGACGTCGTAAAGTTTACAGTGTTATCAAAAAATATCATTATTCAAATGTAGGTATAGTTCGACCTGCGTAAACATTTGTACTATACAAATACATATAGCGGGAATGGTGTAAAAGTTATTATTTGTATTATACAAATACATATACCGGAAAGCATTTTGCTTATAAAATTTATAACTAAATGGCAGCCATTCCGTGATTTTAACAGCACCGTTGCGTCGGTGGTCAGGCTATAAACTTTAAAGTAGAATTTATCTCACTAAATTCTCCAGTCGGCTTCTAAGCTCGGTATAAATGAATTTTGAATTCATTTCTACATTTAGTCGACAAATTAGTACTTGTTTGGCACGTCGGAGTTTGTTTCTTTAACATGCAGGGATAGTAGCCAGTTGAATGTTTTTTTGGTGATTTAAACTCCGATGACAACAAATAAATCGTTCCAGTTTAATTTATGATGTTGTAAGATATTAAGTAGAATAATTCTCATTGCTAAGTATGTTTTAAGCTCAATGAATAAGCTTTTGTGGTTCTAATGCTTTAATTATGAAAAATCCAAGTTAGTTCTATTAATATTTTTCTTAAAAGTAACTTTATTATAACTGCATCTGCAACAAAAATATTTTTGTAATAATAACAAGCACAGAATAGCGTTTTTTTTAGAATTGTATATGTAAGGAAAACAATAGAGAGCACGCACTACTGATGCCTGCCTTTCATTTAACCCATCGATAATTTGTCAGCTTGAAACCAAACTTTAGTTCTCTAGGTACTACATCCTCTAACTTCCGAGTTGGCCACTTGGACTACATGTTATGTGTATGTCGTTTACTTATCAATAATGTTATTTTGTTACTACAGTTGGGCACTACTCTATCCCGGTCGCTGGAAGCGGCGCGTGCGCTGCTACAAATGCTAGCCGTAGGCGCGGATGCGCTCGCCACTACAGATCGTGTGCTGTCAAGTGCGAGCGACGCCTGCGCCGACCGCTTGTTACGCGCAGCTGGCTGTTCGCGGTGCCATGGACACACCGCTCCACCTTGCAGAAATTACTGCCTAAATGTTGCCCGAGGGTAAGTGAATACCATACTATATAAACAGGTATATTTATTGTTGGGACCTTAGCTTCTGTTTAATAATATAGACGAAGCGATAAACAAAATTAACCGCGACCTAGACACCATAAAAAACTGGTCCAGCAGATTTGGTTTAACCGTGAACCCAGCCAAATGTCAGGCAATCTTTATAGGGAGTCCTAGAATGACGGGTAGAATTGATACTGACGCTATCGCAGATATTATTTTTGATGGAACTGTGTTGCCCATTAGCCAATCAGTCAAGGATCTCGGTCTGCACATAGACCCAACCCTAAATTGGCAAACGCAGGTAACTAGCGTCAGTCAGAAGGTAACGAATATCTTGAGGGGACTTTACCGCCTGAACAATTTACTCCCAGTGAAAACAAAAACGATGCTGGTGCAGACCTTAATTTTCCCAATCATCGACTATGGTGATGTGTGTTACCTCGACCTGAATGCAGATCTGCTCAATAAATTAGACCGACTTCTCAACAACTGCATTCGGTTCATATTCAACCTGCGAAAGTACGATCATGTATCCGCCTATCGCAGGCAATTGTCATGGCTACCTATAAGACAGCGCCGCAGTTTGCGGGCGCTGACTATGTTGCACTCCCTTCTCCACACACCTACTTCACCTACTTACTTAACATCCCACCTGCATTATCTCTGCTCCAACCATGACAGAAGCCTTCGCTCCGCTGATAATTTCCTCCTTCTTTGTCCTTCACATAGCTCCCGTATCATACATTCATCCTTCACTGTCCAAACGGTAAATCTTTGGAACGCCCTTCCCCTAGAGATCAGGACATCCACCAACCGAACAATCTTTAAGACCAGAGTACGCAAGCTTTATGGAGACTTGTTGACGGAGTCCCCAAAATAACCCCTTGTGTGTTCATCAACGCAGGCATGTATGTATGAATGTATGTGTGTATGTTTATGTTTTTTTTATATTTATAGTATTATATAGTACGTATAAATGATATTTGCATTTATATATGTATCCATCTTGCAACCGACTACAATTTAAATAATTTATCTCATTATATACCTGCCATACACAAATCTCTGCATCACCCCAAGGTTGACTGGAAGAAAATGCCTATGGCATTAAGTCCGCCTTATGCAATGTATTTGCAGGAAGTATAAATAAATAAATAAATAAAATAAAGCTCGCTGTAGTACAATAATACAAACATCGGTGGCGGTATGGTGTATATTATATCTATATAAATTATTATTATTATATTTCAATACATGTAGAAAGTCCGTCATATTGGATTTAGAGTGGCACTTTATTTTTCGAGTTATTCTCAGCAAGCCTTTTTATTTGATACCTGATGATATTGTAGGAGTGCATTAAAAATAACTAGTCCGCCATCTTGGGTGTTCCGCCATGTTGAATTTAGAATGACGTCATACATCTAACCATGCAATGTCATCCGAAATATACGTGTACACAAAATTTCAGCACAATCGGTTGAAGATATTAGAATTGCAAGATTCCGACCGAACAAACATAGTTACATACTCGTACATACATTGCAAGTTAAATAAAAACTTCTAAAATGGGAAATACTATGCCTTCTATTCGTGTCGCATTCTATGTGCCACGATTACTATCACTTCTGTAACTATAATGTCTAAATAGAAAGCTCGTAAAATAGCACTTTAAGCTGCAAGTTTAGCTTAGAGGTCGCTTGGCTTTTATATAATCTTTAAAAAAAGCTTTACTACAGAATCCATAAAACAACATTATTATACGTGTACTCATCGATGAGAGCTATTTATTTAGCTGACCTCTGGATTCTAACACGTATGTGGGGTGTAGTTACACACATATAATCTTGTGTAATTTATTCTCAGCTACCTGTCATTACGAACACGAATGATCTTATGCTACAGCGGTTATTAGAGGTATACCAATAATTACGATTACAAACTATTAGTTCCATGAATTATGGGCATTTTTATGCCAACAGTCACGACTCTATGACTTAGGAACCCTGTCATCGAATTTGTAGTGGTTTCTATGCCATATTATCTTACGACGCACCGTCTTTAGGAAGAGAGTATTTTTTTAACAAAAGTGCTAATTTCCTTTCCGTTAAGTTTCCCAAGGAAAAGATATGCAGTGATTGCTGGTTTTCCGGGATTATATAAAGACTTATAAAGTCTGACATTAAACTAGCTCCATTAAAGGCAGCGTAGATATACATTGTTTCGAGGCTCAAGTTCGTGAATTAATATCGATTAATATCGTGTTACATGTGCGGTCAACTTGTTGCTGTACTCATAAGTGAAAGTGTCAGGAAAAACGGATGATACATGCAAAAATCTTAAATTTGTTTTAATATTGTATACGTTTTCCCATTGAACACAACATTCAAAACTTCTTAAGAATGTTCTGTGCATAGTGAAGGCTATATTTATAAAGACAAATATAGGATCCATCTTTAAAACAGTTTCACAGCTGAGTTGAGCTGAGTAAACCTAATGATCACGTTAATTCACGATCGATAATATTTATAATAGATACAGGTTGTAGATTCTACAATAAAACCGATTTAAATAAGTAGCGAGTAATAAAACCAGGTAATGAAGTACTAAGAGCGAGTATTTTTTGGCTTCAAGATCGTACTTTTGCCTACCTAATGTCCTAAATATTAGATTTTTGTATTTGTTCCTTGTGCGTAAGTATAATAAGCTGTAATAAGTATTATCAGATTTATTAGTATTACTCGAATAGTAATAGTAAAACCAAAAACACACTTATAACATAATTATGTATATATTTTTAACTTAAACTTGTGTTAGGTATTAAGGATGCATATTATTACATAAAAATATTAAAAATAAATATTTTTTGCAGATGCATCGGATCTTTACTCGCGGAGCTAGATGGTCCCTGGGCAGGCTACGTGGAGGGGGTGGAGAGACTCACAAAAGTAGACGCTGACGTCGCGCTTCGAGAGCTGGAAACCAAAGTCTCTAAAGCCATCATGTACGCGCTTGAAAATAGAGCCGTGTCGGAAAATAAGGTATGTGTGATTAATTAGATGTTGTCTTGTTAGTTTCATATACGAATAAGACTTCATCGCTTGAACTCGCATATATCTATCACCAGTTTGAAATAATTGAATCCATTCATTCCATCCAAAAGTTGCCTGGAAGAAATTACTCTGAACGATAAGGTTTATACATTGTTCCTGCTGTACATTTCGTGCTTTACAACACCTGTAAAATGAAAGTATTATTAACCTATCTTTATATCTAAATTATTTGCCGAATACGTACCAATCTTAAAGACTAGGTAAACCAAATAGGTACGGTCTATTAAAAATATTTGGGTCTGAATTCGGTTAATACCATTCGCAATTTAATAGTGACGCAAGGTGCTAGTTCGAATAAGCCTATTGCCGAAATCGTGTCGCGGCCGTTCACGACTTAGTGTAATGTTGAATTAATTTCTGCTTAGGTATCAATTAAATGTTCAACCGAACATACGGCCCTTATTTAAACGAAATAAGAAGTGGAATCATATTTGTACAGAAATTCATACGAGCACGGTTACTCACACCGAAACAGAACTTTATTTCATTAGAAAGTTTAATAAACGCAAGGAATAACATCCCACAATATAATAAATTACTCAACGGTAAATTTAACACTGAATTCACAACTCGCTATAATTTGGTTTGATTTACCGATGCACTGGTAACTAACAGAATTCTCACATGAAATTGCTATTACAACCACTGAGATATGAAGTGTAGCACAGCACTTTACTGCGCCACTACCATGAAGCAATCGGACGGGAAAATATATTCCAATTTAGCTGAAAGTGGAATAAAATAAATTTAGTAGGCACTCAGGCTAGAGTTGGAAAAACTATTTCAGAGGAGATTGTTCAATTATTCTTCGGATGTTGGCTCATACCGAAAGTTCTAGAGTTGGCGATCTGCATACTAATTTTTCTTTATTAATGGGACGAAAGATTTGAAAACTTAATACTCCGCGCCTGTTTAATATTGTACATTGCGTTCTAATCATAGGAAGAGACTTGTCTTTAACAAAATGTTATCGTAGAATAATCACAAACAGGGTAAGGGTAACATCATCATCATCATCAGTCTATCGCAGTCCACTGCTGGACTACTAACCTATCGTCACACTCCATCTGGCCTGTGGGCTCTTTACCCGCAACTTCGTAATCGTAAATCGTAGAACAAGAAACCTTAATCTTGAATTCATTATTATAAGCTTTACAAAAAGTGATCATCTACCTCATAATATATGTACATACTCTTGTTGGCGATTCTAGTTTGACGTAATTGTTGAATGCCCCAAATACAAGGTCTGTTTCTACCTTTAAAGCGGGACTCGACGAGAATTCAATTACTTGCAAAGGAAATCCTTATTCGTTTCAATTTCATTGAATATCTCACCAAAGTAATTTTAGCTTAGCACATCTCTTCTCTGAAACATGAAAACACGAAACTTTATTTAAATTTTCAAGAGTAAAGTAGGTACTTATGTTTTAATGAAGGAATAGAGTGCAAGTTGTGAACTACACAGGATTAAAGAGCGACTCTGTATATGTATAAAATGTTCGGGTAAAGTGGAGAGACGCGATCTAGTGCTAGATACAATTTACTGTTTTTATTTGTTACTGTTATTTTGTAAGTTCTATTTGTATGGTAGAATGTATGGGTAAAGTACACGTACTTAGCTTGTAGCGAATTGACAAATGATGATGATGATGAATGAATAAATATGTGTAACAAACATCTTTACAATATAAATTTATGAAAAATACTTTATTTACATAGTAATGAAAGAAAAAATAGTAAGTTGAAAAGATTAAAATAGGCAAATGTTGCTTTTAATAACGTTCAAAACCTCTGTTGCATTTTTTGGTTTTTATATTTTATTTATATAGTACTTAACTATTTATGGACAGATTTTAAGCATTCTATTTTTAATTTACTTAGTTGTTCTCAAGATAAATAAGAAAAAAACTACCATCTCAAAAAGTCAACAATTAGAGAATGAAGGACACGGCATATCACAATTGTCATGGATAAGGCGTATTCAAGTTGGTGACACTTATTTTGAAAGTATTTTCCTTTTCTTTTCTACTCAGATAGACAAGAAAGCTAAGGTACGGGCAGATACAGATGGCATGCTTTGCTATAAAACTATTCTTGTAATGACCGCCTTCTAATGGTTCATATTACTTGGGTGGGTTGCAACCAGTTGAATTAAGAGTATTTGAAATTCTATATTATATATCTTACTTAATGTTACAGTGTATTACGACGCCATAAACAGTTAAGGAACGTAGGCAGAGTGCACGGGTCAGTTGTAGGCGAGGGTCATAGCTCGTCTCAATCGCTTCGCGCCCACTTTCGACAACAAAGAGAAAATTGCTTTTACATTAAGTAAACTCTTTATCTTAAGGCCTAAAGGTGTAAAGTGTTACAACTGCTATTGTGTCATCATCCTAATGTTAGAAATGTGAATGTTATTTGTTGGGTTTTCACGCTTTAAATCACCATCATCAGCTCATCGCAGTCCACTGCTGGACATTTTCACGCTTTAAATACTGTACCATAAAATTATTCAATACGAATATATTTAACTGGCGCTGGTAGTTTTTTTTTCAATTTTACTATACAATGTAGTAAAGTTTTTCATAGAAAACTGTAGGAGTTTAGACCTCAAAATTATTCTAGATATTTTTTATATTGATTTTATTGGTTTTATAATAAAATAAATACGTTTTTAAATCTTTTTAAGTCGTTATCTATATTAATATGAGCTGAAGTTTGTTTATTAAGTATTAGTACAAGTTTATTGGTTAGAATATCAGTTTTGTATTGAATATCCAATTCCTTGAGGCTTTACGCTGACTTGTACGCTGAATAACAGCACGCAATTACCCTAGGAGTAGAGCAGTAACCATAACTATTACCAGTACTAAATATAATAACGGCTAAATTAATAATAATTAATTAATAATTTAACCACAGCTGTTTATGTGATTTTAAATGGTTTTAATTTTTATCTTACACCATTACGGCTTGACTTCTAGAACGTCTTAGATTGAATTTCTAAGAAGTAACGAGCCGCATAAACTTTATCCTATATTTAGATGGTTGCAAAACGTATTTAATATCGCATAACACACGCTCATGAATATTAATAATGCAGATGTGCCTGGGATTACTGTTAAGCGTAATATTATACGACTTTTATCACCTAACTTTAATAATATATTCCTTTACAAAAGTTCGTCCTGATTCGTTGAAGAATATGGATAGTTTATATGTATTTGCATCCTATTGCATAAACCAGATTATACCTCAACACATGTAGCACAAACTTGTGAGATCAGAGAGTCTTGTACCAGTTTATTTTAAATTTAACGTTGCGATTAGCCCGTACTAAACTTTTTATAAATCGCAACACCGAACTGCCGTCGATCGAGTTGATGTAAAATAAACTCACACGTTACTAACTCCAAACTATCTAGCTTGAGGCACTTTTTAATGTTTGATACCAGACAATTTGCACTCATTCTGTCATCCCGTTGACTCATACAGCAATGCAAGCTAAACAACAATCATTTCATGGTCAGTGTGACGTAATCGCTCATCGCACGTTATGTCATGAGTAACCAGTAAGGCCGGCGTTTCCGTCGCACAAAAAACCCGTCTGTATATTCGTCTGTAGTGAAGCTTAACCCGTGAAGTACTATAGACTTTCTGATATCGTCGATATGCTCTGGGCTATTGACCTTTGGCCGAACCAACGATTGTGGTTATATAGATCAAATTAACTTGTCTAACCAACAAAGTATGCACTTAAAAACTAAAAATAGTCCTAACTAATGTTTTATCCCAGAAAGGGTTTGCTATTTTTTTATGGAAGAAAGGTCAAACGAGCAGTCGGGTCACCTGATGGAAAGTGATTACCGCCGCCCGTGAACGCCTGCAACAACAACAAACGCGTACGCTCTTTTCTGGAAGGTTTGAAGGTCGTATCGATCCGGCAATACCGCAGACGATAACTTGTTCCACAGATTGGTTGTGCGAGGTAAAAAGTGTTTTGAAAAGCGCACAGTGGTGGAGTGGTAGACAGAAATGTTCAGTATTTTATTTTTGCTTTACACATAACACATACATTACAAAGTTTTGTGAATATGTCCGTAATAGACCCCTCGAAGTACCAATTTAGACCACAAATAAAATACTGTGACTATTTGAGCGAATATTTCATTTGAAGACGAAATATTTTATTTCTTCTCCTGTTCCGTAATCAGTCTTGGCAATATTGCCAATAACAGTAATTTTATTTCGGTTCTCAATCATTTTCCCGGTATACAGACGGCTTATTCAATAAACCTATGACGACATCACTATGGCGGCACCACTTCTATATTGTATTTCGGCTCTAAATCAAATTTACAATATTTCATTTGATATTTCAGAAAGAGTTATATCTAAATAATATTCTGCATATTTATAAGTTGGAAAAGGGTTTCTTGTGACAATGTGAAATGAATTTTCCGCTCTCAGCTTTATGATACCATTTTCCTCTTTAGCACAAATTTCTAATCACATTTGTTAGATTATTCATAGATACATCACTGTAATATCAAACGCATACGATAGTGTCCTGCATCCGTTATTTATATCTTCGCAAAATCCACGAAACTCAAGTATATCTATAGCGATGGGGTTGTCTTTTTACATATGCGCCCCTGATTTTGGGTGACTAATGTAATTTAAAAAAGTCTACTTTGTTATTATTTATGTATTTTTGTGTTATCATGTTCCTGCATCTCGTACCATCAACTGTTATTGAATTCTTTGGGCTAGGTTAGAATAGTGGCGATTAACGCCAGATCCCTCTATTGTTGGTGAATCATTTGGGTTAGGTTAGGTTAGAACTGTGGGGGTGCTGGCTAGAAAACCTCCTCGTGGTGCACCCTGGAAACGCTGGCGATGGCACTGTTTCCTCCTTGTCCTCTTGGAGGAGAGGATTATCGCCAGCGGCTAATATTCTAGCAGAAGAGGTAGCCGTTCATCGGCTCTCGGGCAAGGCCTGGTCCAGCAGGGTGGGCGTGTCTGCCGGTTGCCCTGCTGGCTCTTCGCTCTTCGGAGCATGGAGGAGGAAACCTCGGTAAAAAACCAGAAGGTGGGGCCCTATAGGGGCCAGTTTCTCCGCTGTTAGCGGTGGAGAAAGGAGGACGGGCTCGGCGTGTACTGACACTACCATCGAGCAGGCAGGGGGACGTAGTCTCCCTGTCACCGTCGGCATATCGTAATCCCGAGAAGAGTGCTGTGGTCAAGTCTCGCGGCTCTGATCGGGGGCGAGGGTCTTGGCTTAACCGCGACCGCGAGGATGCAAACCTCTCTAAAAAATGCCCCGAATCCCGTGTTCTGGTGCGTGGCCAGGGGATGCATGGCTGATGGGTAGTTCAGTCGTAAGCGCACTCCCAGCCGGGGCACTTGCGGACCCCTCGGTTGGGCATAAATTTACGCTTGCCCGGGTATTGGGGGATCTCTGCCCGGGTGGACCTTTATTTCTCCCCCACTCGTGGGAATATAATGGATACTGAAGAAACAAATAAAGTAAAAGGACAAAACAAACAAACAACGAAACAGGCAAGCCAAAAGGACAACGAAACGGTGGGAAAGAAGGAGAAGAAGAAGAGTGGTGGAGTGGATTCGGCGTCCACTGAAGGCGAGGTGGTGTCGAGAACACCTATCTCGGTGGGGCTCCCAGTAGTAGTCTGTAGTAGACTGACTGCTGGGAGCCTAAGAACATCGGAGCGTCTTCGTTCCCGGTCCGCGGCTTCATCAGACGGTGGCTCCAGTGTGTCGACTGACGCACTGGACGCTATGGATGTTGAATTCCGCGACACTGGGAGTCGCAAGCGTGGACGCTCCGGAGAGGAGGGTGTAGACCCCTCGCAAGACATGCTGCCACCTAAGGTGGCCGGCAGCCAGCGAGGACGGTCACGGACGCCGATCGCGAGGTCGCGTGCCCCTGTCCCCGTGCCGTCTGGCTCCGCCTTCTCTGGGGCGGAGTCTTACAGGCGTGTCCGAGCGGACGGCGAGGCCGCAGCGGAGGAGGAGATCGCGGATCTCCTGCTCAAGATTCGGGAGCCGGTGGAGGGAGACGCCCCCCGGGCTCCCGTGTCTGTGCAGGAGAGGGCGAGGGCGGCGGTGGCTATTATCCAGAAGGTAGCCACCAAGTCAGTTAACCTTAAGGGCTCTTTTGTGAGGGCCCTTAAGGACTCCTCCTCCGCCATGTCGGAGGTCGTGGAGGGCCTAGTAGGCGACGTGTCTCGCCTACAGATGGCCAATGACAGGCTGACGGAGCAGGTGAACGGGCTGAGCGCTCAGTTCGCCCGCTTCCGGGCGAACCTCCCCGAGCGGGAGGCCCCATCCACGCCCCAGCCTGTACCTACCGCGACCTCAGGGGTGCCTGACGCCCAACTGCGGTCAATTCTTGACGCAGTTGGGCGTATGCTGGACGGCCGTCTGGCCGGTCTGGAGGCGAGACTGCCTCCTGCGCCGGTCGTGCGCCCCCCGCTCGGGGCCCCCTTCCCCCCGGGGGGCCGGGCCTGGGGGGGCGGCTCCCCGCCCCCCCGGCTCCCCCCGGGGGGGGAAGGCCCCCCCGGGCCCCAACCCCGGCCCCGGCCCCGGCCCCGGGGCCCCCGACTCCAAAACCGGGGGGTTTCCCCCGTCCCCCCAGGGGCCCCCCGACCCCCCCCAAGGGGGCCCAACCCCGGGGGCTCAAAAAAAACCCGGGGGGGCCAGAAGGGGCTGCCGGCCCAAACCCCAGCCCCCAGGGGCCGGGCCCCAAAAGACCCAAAGCGGCCCCGAAAATGGGGGAGTGGGCTTTCCCTGGCCCCGGGGGCCTCCTTTTCCCCCTTTCCGGGCCCCCCCCCCCCAAACCTGCCCCCCCCCAAGGGGAGGGGTTTGGCCCGGGGCAAAGGGGGCCCAAAAATTGCCCGGGGAAGGGGGGGCTTGGGGCTTTTTTAAAAACCCCAGCCCCCAAGCCCAGTTTCCCCACCGGGGTGGAAGGGCCCTCAAAAAAGAGGCCGGGGAATTGCAGCCCTAAAACCCTTCCCCGGGCCCTGAGTCGGACCCCCCGTGGGGGCCTGGGGGCCCGGGGCCCGGTGGGGGTTTCACTTTGGCGGCCCCTTGG